TTTACTCTATTATTGTTCTTTATCTCAAAGCTAATTATATAGTATGGTAGGTTTATTAAAAGTAATATTTAATTAATTTGAGAGGTATACACTTTTGTATGCATGTTAAAATTTGAATAAAATAAAATGTAAAAGATGATTAAGATATATAGGCTATGAAAAGGAGTCTATCCTCAGTCAAAAATATTTAATTAGAACACAAAAAGTAATGGTTACTAAGGAAATACAGAGATAGGGATTGTGTTAAAAATGATTTTTATTCAAAAGCACTATTCATAGAGTTAAAAAGAAAACAAAAAACCGCATTCCATTTGTGTTTTGTATCCCTGATCAGAGTCTTATGTCAAAATATATGATAATTACCTGGAATTCAATAAGAAATAAAAAATAGGGAACGCATAGAAAACCTTGTAATCACATTGAGTATTAAATTCATTTATATGAAAGCCAAGTGACCAATAAACTTACAAAGCAAGCATTAGTCTACTAAACACTAGAGAAACTGAAATTAAATACAATTTTAATTTTGTATTTTTTACTGCCAGTGTATACACACATGACTGGCTATAGGAAGAGAGAACACTGGTGTTCACAAGGGTGTATAGCAACTAGAATTCTCACACATCTGTGAGACTGAAGTTGGTACGAGCACTTCAGAAACTACCCATTATAGGTGAGCGTACACATCCATGTGATAAAGCAACTCACTCCCAGGGAGGCTCCCAAGAAAAGTGAGAGCAGACATCTGCCGAAACCACATTCAGGAGCGCTAGAGTCAACATCATTTGTAATAGGAAAATACTGGAAACAAGTATCTATCGCTACTGAAAGAAAGTTTGGGAGCGTGTTCATGCAGCCAGGTATGGTTACAAAATTAATAGCCCGAAGTACATTAGCTACATAGCTACATGCAACCATGTGGTGTATCTTAAACCTCACGATATGATACAAAGGGAAAGAAGACAAACAGGAGTGATAAATAGACAGTTATTTTAAAAATGATAAAATGAATCTAGGGTGTTTGAAACAGGATAATTGTTGCCCCAGGAACAGAGGGGTAATGGCTGGTGGGCAGGGTCAAGACGTCTTAGGGTAGGGGGGGTAAAGGGGTAGAGCGGTGGGGTTGGGAGTGCAATTGTCTCTTCTTGTGCCTTCATGTTTCATCTTGATTGAAAACTGGAACAGACTGAGAGGCACCGCGGACATCATGAGGCCCACCTCTGCGTGGGCCTGTGAGGAGATTTCCAGAACTAATTCACTGGGAGGAAAACCCTGCCCTGAATCTGGACAGGCTTACAGTATAGGGGAGAAAAGAGAAAGCTAGATAGCACTATTGTCTCTGACTTCTGTCTACCATGACCTGAGCTACTCTGCCCCAGAAGGCTCTCCACACAAAGATGGACTGAAACTGATAGTCTAAATGAACTCTTTCTGCATTTAGACATTTTCAGATATTCTGTTTCAGCAATAAGAGAGAAACTAATATAGCATATCCCCTACTGCACAGGTAAACTCACACTGCAACTCTCTGGTCATTACATATTCTTTTATGTATGTCCTTCAACATTACATTATTGAAAACCAATAGCAGGAATCTAAGTGGAAAAAAAATATGAGGTAGTTGACGAAGCCTCTACTAACCAAAGAATAATAATTTGAGAAATAAAATAAGTAGAGTGGATTCAATTAAAGAAACTCTGGGTCCCCGATGATATTTTAAAATGCGTAGTCCTGAAAACCTGTACACCATTCTTGTCAGCTGATAAAGGGACATACCTTCCGATGTCTCCAAGCCTTCCTCACATGAGTGGCCTTCCCTTTTACTGTCAAAGTGTCCTGATTTGGATGCTGAGTTTTTGCAAGGTCACTGGGGCCATGTGCTGAGACTCTGTCCCTGGGGATGTGTCCCTGCCGTCTACATCTTGTCCTGGGTCCTACCTTCTACCATTTGCTTCCTGGTCGGGATGAAGGCTCTCTGCTCTGACATACTTTTCTTGTGAGGGTTGGCACCTCTGAAATACGGAGCGACACCGAAATAAACAACAACACCCGTCTTACTGTGCTTTTCTCAGTTATTTGGTTGTGATGAAAATAATATCAACACGGTATTTAAATAAAATGTATTCGATTTTTTTGTAGTTTACCTCTTCCTGTAACGGCATATATAAGTACACAATGGCAAAAGGTGAATTTCAGTGCATGCAGCAAGTTAGAATTCAGTATCTTTTTTACTGTTTTCATGCCTGAACATAAGAGTGTCATGTGCGTACACTTTGGCTTATGTTATCTTTTTCTTTGCTGGCATTTTGAGCAATCACTCTGTCACATTAATCCTTAAAACTATTTAGTACCTGATTTACATCTGCTACCATACAAAAATATATGTTTTGTGCTTAGTTTGTGATGTTTTATTAAATATAGTGTATTAAGAATAAATATTTCAAATAACTCTCAGAATCCCAAATGCAGATATTACTTCTAAGCCATACAAAACAGTTTAATCAATAAAAAAAATTTAAAAATAATTATGTATATGAATTATGACCAGTCTCTGAAATAGTGTCATACAATTAAAATCTTTAAAATTCAAAAACCGTTTATAATCTAGAGAACTATTTAATTTCCATGTCTTTCCTCAGAGAATCGTAAGATACTTATTAGAATATCTAAAGCATGATAGATACTGTGACAAAATCAAAGTAGAAAGAGAAAAAAAATGAGGCTGAAGGCTTGCTCAGTGGTTAAAAGCATTTGCTGCTCAGACACGAGCACCTGAGTTTGGATCCCCAAGTTGGGAGAGGTTGTGTGAACCTGTCTCCCCAGCACTGGAGGGCTGTCGTGGTATGAGGCACAGATGGAGGGTTGATGAGGCTGGCTGGCTGCCAAGTCCAGGTTCACAGAGAGACCCTGTTTTGAGGCGATGAGAGTGAGGGAGGACTTCTGATATCTTAGTTCCATTTTCTGTTGCCGTGATAAAGTATCCTAACAAAAGAGTTTATTCTAGGGTTTATGTGGTTCCAAATCTCAGTTTGCAGTCCATCTCTGTAGGGAAACCAAGGCTGCAGAAACATGGAACAGCTAGTCACATGACATCCATAGTCAAGAGCAGAAGCCAGTTAATTAGTGCAGGGATGCTTGAGCTCAGTTTGCTCTCTCACCTCTTTTGCAGTCTGGGAACCCCTGGCGGAGGACTTCATGTCACCCACAGTGGGTGATCATCCCATCTCAATCAATACAGTCAAAATAAGCACCCCAAACACATCTGCAGGCCAACATGATCTACCACTATCCCTCTTCGAGACTCTCTTCGCAGATGGTTTTAAATTGCTTCAAGTTGAGAATTAACGCTATTGCAACTGACATCTTCCTCTGGCCCCTAAACACACATGGACAAATGTACAGACAGGCACATACCCATGCACCCCAACCAATACTCAAAATTAAAACAAACAAACAAACAAAAACAAGCTTGAAGAAGAAAAGCACAAAATGTTTTGAAATGCGCAGAATAATATCCGTGTTAGTACTACCCACAATCTGTAAATTTTTATGTGTCAATCACCCTTTAATGACATCCATGGGATGTGATGGGAGAAGCCAGCTGTTCCTAGTGCTGAGATTAATCTCTCCAGAAGAGAGTAGGATAGTAAGAGGACACCTGTGACATCTCCGTGAGTTCAGCACACACAGTGGGTTCTGTCATTTTCCTTTCACATTGTTCTCAGCTTTCTGAGTTAGAAGCACTCCTTTGTATGGGTGGGAGGAATGGAGGGATCCACAACTTTATTTCCCTTTATTCCCCAAAGAACTACATTTTAGGGTTTTTTTATTTAGTTTCTTTTTAAATTTGATGTTTTTTTGTTTGTTTGTTTGTTTGGTTTTTTTTTAGGATAGTACAAGAAGTATTAATGTTATCTGTTTGAATTAGAAGAAATCAGAAAATTTGAGATTAAATTGTCTACCTTTCAAAGAACTTAATGATTTAAAATATTCAAGATGCTCATGTTATAAATATGCATGTAACTCATTAAGAGTCTACACTGGCTCCTTTATGTGTTTATATTCTTTTTTTTTTTATTCTAAAAACAAACTGCACATATTTCATGAGGAATTTCTTCAGTAGACTCAAGAATCAACTCTAGAATATTAGAATCAGTGAATATGTTCCACATTTGGTAACGTACTGTCTAGTCAGCAGCTGGATGCTGAGCATCTGGTGATGTGTGGGTATCCTAACAGGTGAATTCTAATGTGGAACACTTTAGATTTTCAACCTACATGTGACTGACTCCCTGCTCAAATTACTGTACAGTAGAACAGTAATTTTACAATGTATAGGCAGATTTGCGGTGCTATGAAAAGTTTACTATGATCTCTTGCAATTATGAGGAGACATCACCCTTGACTCCAACATTATCTTAGCATTTGGCATTGGCATTTAGAGTGTGAAGTAGAAGTTCCAATCTGCAGCCCAAACTGGAGGCTGATACATGATGCTGGTATTTTCTGTTTCCATTTTAATAATATCCGAGTATGGGAAATTCTGATATACAAGTTTAAATTTAGAACAATAACTTTCCTTCAAGCTATTGACGAATTCTGGAGAGTATAAAAATTGTGCTTTGAGTCAGGAAGAGCTAAGAGCTCCCAATCCTTTCAAAATTAGAACCTTGGACCTGTTTAAAATTGCTTTGTGTTTCTGAAACATCATTTCTCTTTAATATCACCATGCCATAATCTCCAAAAGCAATAAAGACATATGAAACATATTTCTACATTCTCTCAGCCTTAACTTAAAATACAGTGAGACTGTGGGGGGGGGGGAGGACAGCAGAGAGAATCAGGAGAACTGACAGAAGAATCAAATATTTTGATTGAACCACCAATTAATGAAGTCGAATTTGAAACATAAATAAATGCACCAAAATCGATCAGTTATTTTATTAGCTTGACCACATTGATTGGTTAATTAAACAACACAGATTGATATTTGGCAGATTTTACACCCTGGTGTCCACAGCATACATTTTGGCTGTCTCTGTCCTAGCAGCCTTGTAGGACTTGGCCATGGAAACACCTGTGGTTGAATAGGGCTTCCTCATGGCATAAGGGTAGTTCCTCTCAGGCCCAACATCTGGATGAAAGAGATAAACCAAGAGAAATAAAAATACATATGACCCATTTAACTTTCAAAATGAAAAAAATAGTCATTTTATGTTATTCTCCAAAACAGACAAAGACTCACACATGGACACATACAGGCATACACACATACATTCACACACACTCACATGCATGCACACACACATATGTACATACATACATGCAAAACGCAGATACAGACACACATACTCTCACATGCATGCAAAACATATATGTACATATATACATGCAAACACATGCACATAGATACACACATTCACACACACAAAGACATGCATAGGTATACACAAACACACACATGCTCGTACATAATTTTTCTCACACAACACACACACACACACACACACACACACACACACACACACACACACA